GAGGGTATGAAAACCCTAACCAGGAGTCTGGGTCACATAGGTCCCGTTAGGCTCCCTGGCTGGGGACTTCGCCATGGTCGTACCCGATGGTTAAAGACACTGAGTGATATGGCTGGGTGTCGCAAACAGTGGCGCTCGTGCATCTCAATTTCTCATTAGTCCACTGAACTTTTCATATTTCTCTTCGATCCTGCTTTCAACTTTTCCTGTCTTTCTCCTAATTTTCATCTAAATGGACAACCGAAAGATGGCAACCAAAACCGGCTCATGATATTTCATGGTTAATGGTTGTACAAACTGAACTGAACTGAACCTTCGTTATGAATTTAAAGAATTATCTTGTAGGTTTCCATGATCAAACGTTGAATCCCGAGCCTAAAGGACCAACTCCTTTTACTGAATACAGCACTGTGTATTTGAAAGAAACCCAAATATTAAGTTGACAGAAGGCTCTAGGTGGTTAGATATCACTCGAATGACAGAAATTCATGTCATCATCTTATAACTGAGTGTGTCGATTAACCGTCGATCCTACTACAATTCCCACAATTCTTTTTATTTATCATTGGAGAAATATAACAGCAGTTCACCGGTTACTTTCTGGCCAAACAAATTCTCGCACACAATAGGTCAGAGTGATTCTATAACAGATCAGATGAAAACTCCGAAGAATATAGTAAGGAACCATCGATATTCAAATTTCTGTTGTGATTTTAGAAAAGAATCAGTGTTTAAACACGTATGTTTACTGGCAAAAATGAATTTGTAAATTTCGAATTACTTTTCCCCCTGGTCATCAGGTATTCGAACACACTTCACGGCACATTTTCCAACATATCTATAAGCCACGGGGATCCACTTCGTTTCTTTACCCGATAGTTTCATTTTCCAATCGCTGACATAGTCGTTCACATCCGGTGTTCTTCAAGTGCATTTTTTCACGTCATTGTATGATTAACCTCAAGGGAGCTAAATCCCATAGACCAAATCCTACTGTCACTCATGATAACCGTCATCCTAAGCCGTCTGACGAACCACATGAAGATTTCATGGAATAAGCGAGGTATTAAGCCGGACTACAACTATCGGATAATTTCTAATTGTTTTAGATCCGTCTTTGATTTTCTCGAGAATTATACTGATCCCAATCTCCCTCAATGTCTTTGTTTGTTTTTCTAAAGATTCTTTGCTGGTCAAGGGCGATGAGCCGTCCCTTTGCCGTTCCTTATCTGTTAAATTACGGGAGTCTGGAAATGATGCGTGGCGCAATGGTGAAGCGAAAACAGCTTTGATTGCGTACAATAAAGCCCTGATGGCAGCTGTGGATGACGAACAGAAATCTTTTGTCTATGCCAATCGGGCTTTGGTTCTAGCATCGCTGAACATGCATTCTTCGGCATTGAAAGACATAGAACGTGCTCTGCAGGTAAAGCCCTTCTGTTTTGGGAGTGTTCATGTTATGTATTGTTTATGATTTCCACGCGATTG